GGTTTTACAGACCTGTGCCTTGGCAGGCCTGTCGGCCCAAAACAGTCCACTTGCTGGGATTAGTGGGTTGTCTGTAATCTGGGGTGGCCAGGAAAATATAAAGGCAGCAAATAATTAGGCATGCAGGACATGTTCACAAGGAGGCATTTGTAACTCAGAATTGTACTTATTACAGCAGAAATCACTAGTTTGACCCCTTATTTTCAGGTCTTCGTCTTATCTTATCAAACTTCCCAATAAACAATTCTGCTTAAGGTAACTACAAAAGCGTAAAATCAATGCTCCACCACTCTTTGGGAATTGCTCCAATACCACACACAGTAGTTGTATGAGCATAGGAAATTTTCTACCCTCAAATCAGCATGCACTTCCAGAGTGTACGTTTTCTTATTAACGGAATAAACAGGTTGAGTATCCCTTATCTGAAATGCTTGGGACCAGAAGTGTTTCAGATTTCGGATCTTTTCATATTTTGGAATATTTGCAGTATATTTAATGGTTGGCATCCCTAATCCAAAAATCCCAATTCTGAAATGCTCCAATGAGCATTTCCTTTGAGTGTCACTCTGGCATTAAAACAGTTTCAGATTTTGGACTGGCCGGGTAGCTCAGTCAGTTAGACTCAAGGTCAAAGGTTTGGATCCCCACACCAACTAGCCACCAAAAAAAAAACAAAAAGTTTAAATTTTGGAGCATTTCAGAATTCATATTTTCAGATTAGGGATGTTCAACCTGCACTTGGAATAAAATATCTCCCTAACTGAAACAGGCATCATTCTCAGAAAATCAGAAAACAGCAACTTAAATCCAATGACATAAAAGCATTTATGAGGATCTTGCTTAACAAAATTTCAGATGAACTGGGACCACAGTCTTGACATACGTGATTGAAAGCAATCTAGTTACAAGTAAAGACTGTTAAACTTATTGAAATCAAAATGGAATATAACTTAACTCAACAGGCGAATTATTAAAATTCCTATGCCTGATTGAATTTCTGTCCTTATAAATAAGAAATCTTACTTTTACATTTTTTTCATTTGACAACTTCAAGTTATTGAAGTTATATTTTATAATTTTATTCAAAATATTGTGGAACCCTACACATTTTAAAATTTCAGTGACAAGTGTTCAAATTATTCTCTAAATTTAATGCCTACTGAATCAAAATCCATCTACAATGCCACTTGAACTTTAAATTTATTTTCCATAGAACAGAAGTTACAAATTAACTCATCATCATTGTTAAAGATTCAAACTACACAGATGCCATAGAATGAATTGTGAAAATCTCCCCTTTCTATCTCCACACAGGTTCCAATTCCTTCTTCAGGTAACACCACTATTAATCCCATACACATCACCCCAGTCCTTCAGCTCTAAATTTTTCTACATCTATGAACCTGTGAATATGATTTTAGAGGGCTTTTTTATAACACATAAATGTGATACTATACATGCTATTCTGTACTTTTTTCTTTTACTTATTATGTTGGAGATCTTTCTAAGTCAGTACACACATCTACCCTTATCCCACTTAATGGCTGCATACTAGTCCACAATAGATTTACATATTTTACATAACCACTTTCCTACTGAGATTTCTGTAACTCACTGCAATTGCAAACAGTGCTGCAATTCAACTTATATAAGGACACATCAAGTAGAAGCTTATCATAAAAGTATTTGACACTGTAATTATGGAGTTACATTCTACATGTAAGATTTCTTAAAAACAAAGAAAACATAACATATTGTGTGTGTTTTTTAATTGCTTTACATTTTTTTCCTATTTACCAAATGCGTTCAAGTCCCCCCTACTTTATCCAACAGATAGTTACAACAAAGTAACATAAGACCTCTCTTGCACATTTTTAACATTCTGCAGCTCAAAGTACTGCTTAAGCCCTGACATCTCTAATTATATGCTCCCTCACAGTCTACCTATGTCATCATCTTTCCCGAGATTAAAACACGCAACCCCTGCTTACACACCTTCAACTATTCCATCTCTCCCATTTCTATCTGACCATTTACATCACACCACAATTTTTCATCATCCTGCCAAGTCAGCCCGTCTGGGCTCACTATGCTGTTACTCCTTGGCCCTATGTGGAACTATGAGAGCCATGCATAGCTCATCCATCTATTTCAGTCCACTTTCATATGGGGCCTCCCAGCTGCTGACCAATCCTGTTAATTCCTCACTTGCCTAACTTTCAAACTTCCCACAGATATTTTATAGTCTAGAATACACACTATTCTCAAATCCCCATTTCTCTCTTCCCAGCTTATTTCTGATTTTTGGTAGATTCTCGCTTTATAGAATTGAAGCCTTCATCTTCATTTCAACAGTACAATACCCTATATAACTCTCATCCTTCCTTATAAAGCTCAAAAAAGAGAGACATATTCCTCCCCTACTTCTAACTCTTGATGAGTGATTCTCCAACTTTGTAAATACATAACATTTTGTTAACATCAAAATATTCTAATAATTCTACATAATAGTGGGTTGAATTTTTATTAGTCAATGATCTAGAACAATTTTTATTCTACTTACAGGAAATGCTTTGAGTATGAATCAAGCAACAGACACATTGTAGTAACTTCATAGCTTAAAAGGTCAGGAACCAAAGCTCTAGAACTCAACTTTCAACACTCCCAGGGGACCTCAGTCCCATAATACTTGTGCCTCTTGCTGGTATTACTTGCCACCCTCCTCCTTAACACAATCTCATATATGCAACTTCTCTAATGATTTGTTTTTTTTTTTTTTCTTTTTGTCTTTTTTTTACTGACCGGTAACGGGATCGCAACCCTCGGTGTTGCGCCCGCACCGCGCTCAACCAGTGAGCGGGAACCAGTCTCCACATGGGATCCGAACCCTCGGCGGGAGCCCAGGTGGCACACTCTCCAGTGCGCCACCGGGCCGGCCCCATCTAATGATTTCTTTGTAAAAAACCCAATTAACTTCTCTCTGCAGTATTAAACATGAATAGCCTTTTTCTACTATTGCAGACTCTGTCCAAGGCAATATACTACTTTGGAACTCTTCTGCTACTTGTCACTGTTTTTTGACCTCTTTTCCTGGCACTTCTATTTCTTCCTTCAACACCCCTAGCAGTAGTTCTCAACTTATTTCTGCCTCCATTCACTGACAGGTAACATATGCCATCAATAATTACCTCTTACAGTGTACTGATTCTCTACCAGTTGGTATTTTCCTCAACGTAAGAGTCCTGCCTCATCACCTGAATGTCCCTGGCCTAAAGAAGATACCCAGAGCCCAGAGCTCTACAGTCTCTGAACTTGTACTCATTCCACTTGTTGTCTATGATATGGCAATGATCAATAACTGCATAACATCACCTACATCTGCTGCATGTGAATTCACTTTCTCTCCTTTGATCAGACAGCAATTCCCTGAAGGCAACTCTTGTTTTAGTCATCTCTCCAAAAGGCAGCGTGCCAAGAAGCCACCATTTCAAATATCTGCAAGTATCTTCTAACACTTTCTAGTTACCTGAAATAATACAGTCAAAAATTCTCAAACCACAGAAACAGAACAGTATTTCACAGGTGCTAAAAAGAGATGAGATAAAGAAAGGTTTCATAATCAAAGGTTTAAGAACTACTGGGTTAAACAAAGTTAACAGATTTATTTTTAGAATTTTCTAGAATCTTTCATCTTGCTAACTGTGAATTCACAATTCAAGAGCAGAATTTCCCAAACTTGTCTGTTACAAAACCCTTTCCCACCTTCTACTCCTCATTACCAGCACCTATTAACTTCGCCCTTTCTGGGGAACATAATTGAGGAAATGCTTATTAAACAATTTTTTCTCTCACAACTTCTTTATATCCAGTGATTTCTTTTCTTTTTTTTTTTTTTTTTTTTTATGTGACCGGTAAGGGGATCGCAACCCTTGGCTTGGTGTCGTCCGCACCACACTCAGCCGCACCACACTCAGCCAGCGAGGGCACCGGCCACCCCTATATAAGATCCGAACTCGCGGCAGGAGCGCCGCACTCTCCCAAGTGAGCCACGGGCCAGCCCTCCAGTGTGATTTCTAAGCATATGTTAACGTTGTAAATTTCAATAAAAAAAAAGTAAGAATACAATTTTTTTTAGAGTATATCAATCACATCAGATATGATTCTCACAATCCCTTCACTAACACTTCTAGGTAATAAGACGACTAACTCTTAAAACACGTAATAAAAGGCCCTAGTTTTTTTTTTTTTGTTTGTTTGTTTTTTTAACTGTTCTAGGAAAGACATTTGTTAAACTTTTCATGGCTAGTATTTTAAATGGGTGCACATGCGAGTGATAAATGATGTATGTTCTATCGCCATGGACATTTCCGGGCCTCTTCCATCAGAGGATGAGGTCTAAGCCCATTCACCGAACTACTGATGAATGATGGCTTATGTTAACACGGGGGGGGGGGGTAGCAGGAAGTAAGATCATGTGTGATACCATTGTCGTACCTCTAGCTAGAGTCTGTTCGGGTCTTCCCGAAAGAAAGCAACTAAAAATACTTCTCTATTTTTTGAGAAGTAAATCTTACAAGAATCCAAGGTAAGTTCAACAGACTTCACCGATGCTCCACAGGTTGTCTCACTCACATGGAGGACCCCTTTGAAGGCACCACCCTCTATCCCGCTGTTTCTTCAGCCCGCTCCTCCTTTTCCAATACAGGCATTTCTCTCCCCACTGATTCCTTCTCCGCGCAAAGTCGCCCCCTTCAACCTCCCCGACCCCCTCTAGAGCTCTCCCTCCTCCCAGGTGTCTTCCTCCAGGCCACCCCGCCTCCCGCCCGCAGATGCCGGCCCCCGGCCCCAGCACCCCAACCACCGCGGGACGCCCCCGGCCCATCGTCCAGACTTCGGACCCTCCACACTCCCGCTCCCGCCCGGCGCCTCGGGCCTCGGCGGCACCCGCGCCGCACCCAAGCATCGCCGCACAACACGCCCCCCGACCCCGGGCCCCTTACCGCACATGATGCAGAAAACACGGTCAGATCGGAAGAGCGTCG